CTGCAAGACGGTGAAGGGAGGGAGGGAGGAGAAGATTCTGTGTGGATGAGACCCAATGGGCTTTTTATCATCCAAATCTCTCTCTCTTGTGGCATCGAGCTTCTAGAATCTTTCCCCAAAAACAGGGTCCAGCGCGGTCTCGAGAAGCCAAACACAACAGAGCGGGTTTCACTGAATGAAAACCTCAGTCCAACCTGTGGAGGGTTTCAGTCGGAAGCAAAATCACCCAAAAATCACCCACTCAGCTTTGTTGGGAAGGTTGTCTTTGTCTTCGGGACACCGAACCGTGTCTCTGTTTCAGCCGTCACTGTCTATTTTTTGAAACGACTCCAGAACTGAAATCTCAGGGCTGCACCTCCTGGTGTCCGTTCAGGCTCAAGCGGTGCAGGAGCCCGGCTTCCTGTCCAGGGTGTTGGCTCAGCCGGGCTGTCGTGAAAAGCATCGTGGGTGGGGGGGGGGGGCGGCGATGGTGAGGTGGGGGGGGGGGCGGTGTGAAAGCTTCCCTGCTCTCTCTGTACATGTACATCCCCAACCTTGACAACAGCAGAGTGCGTGCGAGCTCAGTGAACCCGGCTAATTAGAAAGGCAATGCTCAAGCTGCGTGTGGGGGTCACAGTCAAATGGGGTTGGTGGGGGGGTGGTTGTCTACAACGCATTGATGGTTAAAAGCAGCGATATGACTGGCTACCTATATGTATGTGTGTCAGCCTGGCCCAGTGATAACACTCTTGTCTCTGAGTTAGAAGTTTGTGGGTTTAAGCCCCACAGTGAGATCGCCATTTATAAACATGTTACGTGGAGATCGCTGCTTTCAACGTGATAGACATCATCCCCCCCACCTCCAACTCCTCCACCCTCTCCACGTTTGTGTTTTATTTCCTTTTGATTTACCCGTACACTGATGCAGAAAGTTCTGGAAGGTTTAACCAATGCAGCAGTTGCTGCTCCAGGCATGCTCGATGGGCCGAATGGCCTCCGCCCCTTAATAATAATAATAATAATAATCCTTGCATTTGATATAGCGCTTTTCACGTCGGGAGGACGTCCCAAAGCGCTTCACAGAACACACTGTAAAATGAATTGACTGTATATTTGTGGGTGAACGCGGCAGCCAATTGCGCACAGCAATGTCCCACAAACAGTCGTAGATTGAAAATGACCAATTTATTATTGTTTTGGGTTTTGGAGGGATTATTATTAGGCTCTGTGTGGAGTAAGGAAACTTGCCCAAGGTTTCGCCCTCTGCCTGGAATTGAACCCAAGTGTCTCGCTTGCAAAGCGAGTGCTCTAACCACTGAGCTACAGGACTCCCTTCTCTCTGCTGTAAAGTTTCCATAGTCGGCGGACCGGGAAAGCGAAAGCAAACACACCCGCGCCGTTATTTAACATGTGAAATGCATCTCTGCCTCAAAGTGAGATTCGTGACTCTCTCCCAGAATGGGTGGGTGGGTGGGTGGGGGGGAGGGGGGGGGTGTCTTGCAATGAAAGACAAGCCTCAGGACACTGTTTCCAGGTTGGGGGGTGGGGGAGAAATATGAGCGTTGATCTCAAGAACATCATCTCAGACCATGACCCAAGTGTGAGATTACTACCTCTTTAACCTGTCTAATTACCAGTCCACAATTACCTCAGCAAAACAAGGGCACATCCTCCAACGCACTGAACCTCGAGGAACAACATACGAATTGAGATATATATTTTGGGAGATAATTTTGTATGTCTGTTCCTCCTTTACAGTGGACTGCTTTACAAGAGATGTTTTCTTTTTTTTTTAACCGTTTCCTGCCTTCCCCCAATTTCTATCTTTTTATGAAGCCTTAAATAAAACATTTATAATGCCTTGTCTTGTGGAACAATTCTGTCTGTTGTTTATCCACACACACACACACACACACACAGTCCTCGACACTCTCTTCCCCCACCCGCATTATTTTCCCCCTTCCCCCCCCACCCCACCCACAACTTTCGATTCACTCTTTAAATATACTGGAGTTTACCTCTTAACAATGGCAATTTCGGTTGTTGTGTCAATGTAAAGATTCGTGTTTTGATTTTTTTTGCCATTAAATTTGTAATTTATGCAACTTTTCCCAACACTTGTTTCATTGTTGCCTTTCATTCGTTTGGGCCCATTTGCCTATAAAGTACACAGTCACTGTTGTAAAATCCTGTGAAGTGCTTTGAGACGTCCTCCCAATGCGAAAGGCGCTGTGTCAAATGAAGGATTGGCATTATTGTATTGACTGAGGCTCCAATTGGCCTCTAAGTCCCTTTAGAACATGACCTTTTAACAACCTTAGCTTAAACGGCTTCCGTCTACACTGTAAGTTCACTTCAAGAGGGCTGGTTAATTAATAAAGAGTGAGAATTTATATCCATTACATTACATATTATGCTATATATAATAGATATATATCATAGAGTTTACACTATATCAAGCTTTTCACGTCAGAGGACATTTCAAAGTGTTTGACTGTGTCGCTGGGCAACAGAGCTAAGGATGGAATAAGATAGATAGCGTGTCAAAGAGGCAGGTCTTGAGACAGGCCTTGAATAGCAACAACAAAAACAAATTTTACATCTGTATAGCGCCTTTCACATCGGGAGGACGTCCCAAGGCGCTGGACAATCAGTGTTTCAGACCCAAGCTGGGGGTCGAGATCGGGGAGGGTGGAGGGCAGGGGGGGAAGGAGGATGGCAGATGGCACAGTCGAGGAGGAGGGTCTTGAGATGAAGGAGGCAAGGGAGGAGACGAGGCAGAGGGACTGTGGGATGGAGTATATCTGACTGGCTATTTATATATGTATGTGTCTTAGCCTGGCCCAGTGATAGCACTCTTGCCTCTAAGGTAGAAGTTTGTGGGTTCAAGCCCCACGTCAGGACTTGGAATCACATAGGCTAAGATGACACTCCAATGCAGTGTTAGTGGGGCGGTGGTGGGGGGGGGGTTGTTGCATTGGCGGAGGTACCCTCCTTCAAATGAGACATTAAACTGAGGTCCCATCTGCCTGTTCAGGTGGACTTTAGGGATCCCATGGTTCTATTCAAAAAGAGAAGGGAATTTCTCTCTCCCGGGGTCCTGACCAACAAACCCCCAGATAAAATTGGTCACTCACTCCATGGCTGTTTGTAGGATATTGCTGCGTGCAAATCAGCTGCTACACTTCACCCACAAAATGCACAGTTAATCTATTTACAGTATATCCTGTGAAGAGCTTTGAGAAGTCTCAATGATGATGTGATAAGTCACTATATGAAATGCAAGGCTTATTATTATATGCTAAATTCCAAACACTGGAATTTCCAAGTGTAGGTGGAATGGTGCTCTCAGGAAGGTGTGGGTCCTCTTAAGCAATTGATGGGTTTCTGCACATCCCCCGCCTTAACCCCCCTCCTCACCCCCCCCCAAAAATGATAATAACCTAGAAAATGCTCAGCTTCACAGAAAGGCAACTCGATTTTACAAAGCCACAAGGCAAGTGATAGCACGCCACGCATGGGAGGAAACGTTTTATTTCACAGTTGGAGACTGGGAAACACAGTACCTTTGTGCTCATTACCGGTAAATCAATCAATCAAATCAATCATTTAACCAATCAAGCATGTACTCACAGAGCTGAGCTACGTAAAACAGGTTTATGCGATCTGCTTTACGTTTGGAACACTAATTCCGAGCCCCAGAAGGCATTGTCTTGTAAAACCCAATCCGATTAATTGATTGATACAGTACACAATACACTGAAATGACTCCCACCGCTGGTTATGATAGGAATTGATACACAGACTGTACACTAATGCTTCACTTCGTCGAGATAAAGGTAATGGCCGTTCTTGAAGCAAAGCCGTCCCACTGTTCAGCTATCCTGAACTCAGCTCTTTATCCTGGTTTGGTTATCCCCGGCTCCAAGCGGATCGACTACAAGCAACTCACCCCCACTAATAAATCCCACATGCCCTCACGCCTCCTTATTGCTCTGATCTCCTACCCCACTCCTCTGCTCAGCCCCTCCACTCGGCCAACTCGATCTCCCTACCCTCTCCACACCACCACTGAGTACTCAGTCACTTCACGCCTAATTCCTGGAACTCCCTCCCTCCACCTCGCCCCCTCCCTCTCTATCCCAGCTCTTCCACTCGTGCAGCCCTGTATCATATTGGATAGAGCATTCGCCTCGTAAGTGAGAGGATCCGGGTTCGATTCTCAGATGGGGCGAAACCTTAGGTTAGGTTTCCTTACTCCGCATGCCTCTGTTTACTTAGCATTAAGTAGGTTGATTAATCGATTGGCATATTGCTTTTCAGGGGTAATAATCCCTCCAAAAAAAAGAGGTGGTTATTCGATCCACGATTTTTGTGGGACACTGCTGTATGCGATTGGCTGCTACGTTTCGCCCACAAAATCAACTGCTGCGTTTTTTACAACAATATACAGATCCTCTGCTTCACAGTAAATCGTTATCGTTAATCAAGACATCCTCCCGACCTGAAAGGCGCTGTATCAAACGTGATATTATTGATAGATTAGCAGAATGAATGGGTTAAAATATTCTGTAACTTATTCTCTTTCCCCCACCCAACCACCAGCACCACACAGCCCACTGCTCCACCCCACTCCCAATATCATGTCAACTCACTCCCCAAACACCCCCAAACCTCTCAGAACACTTCCTGCAAAATCAACCCAGGAATTGAAAGGGGAAAAAGCGAGTGTAAAGTAACAGGTTGTGAAATGACTGTGAACGGTGTTGGGTGGGTGGAAGGAGGGCGGTGGTGGGGAGAGCGGGAAATTAAAAAAATAAACAAATAAATATCTGCTGTTCAAAATACAAAACTGACAATAAATACAAAGTAAGAGCTTGCAAATAGCTTGCGTTTGCAAATAAAACTGCAGGGAAAAGGGAGCGAGGCTTTATATTGCATCTCCAGACTTGTGCCCTGAATGTAATTTAAACCCCCCCACCACCACCCCCTCCTCCCCCCCGGCGCCCCATTCTCTGTGTGAATCAGACGGACAGACCAGCGTTGGAGCTGATGATGGATGGAGGGTAGAGGGGGCTTGGGGAGCGAGTAATTAAAGGGGAGCAAGGATAACCCTAAGCACTTTAAGCGCTCTGGGACGCTATCCCGTGTGAGGGCCGCTATATAAATATAAGTTGTTGTTGTTGTCGTACGCAGCACACACGGGCTGAAGAACTCCACATGGACGTAAATAGACTTCTGCCTCTTTCCCGGCTGACGCACGTTGTTGGAGGTTAAGCATTGATGGCGTTTGCCACGTCCGAGAACACCAGTCGGCTCGGTCTCTGCAACGATCCTTGATTCGGCATCAGAATCTAGAAGGGAAAGGACAGCAATCTCCCAGTGAGAAGCCGAGGGCCCTCTCCCTCGTTGACACGTCTCAAAGCAAATGATCCGTCAGTCGACTAACAATTGGGTAAACAGAGGCATGTGGAGTAAGGAAACTTGCCTCAGGGTGCGCCCCGCATGGGAATCGAACCCAGGTCCTCTCTCTTGGCAGGTGAGTCCACTAACCCACTATGTTACAGGATTCCATAAAGTGGTTTAGCATCTCATCCGAAGGACGGCGCTTCCGACAACGCAGTGCCCCCCACCCCCTGCACTACAGCCTAAACTCGTGAGCTCCAAGTCTTGACGTGGGGACTTTGAGTTGTCTTCCCGATGTGCAAGGTATAAATGCATGGTGCTGTGTTTGCAGTGGGAATGCCTGGCTGGTGCTAGCTGGCTGTCGTACCTTGCTCTGAGATCCCTGTGAGGCCGTCTCTCGGCCGTGATCCAGTAACTCCTGCTCCAGCTCATCCTGCTCCTCTCCAGGGTCAAAGTTATACATGGGCATCAGCTGGTGCCGTAGCTTCTCTAGCCTGCAGCGAGCGAGATGACCACAGAGGTGACCATTAGCATCATACACTGCCGTTCAACACCACATCTGTCCTATCCAAACCTCTCACTGGCTGCCACACCCCCTTTCAAACCAATGGCCAAAAGATAACTGACGCTCTCGCCCTCCGGACATACTTGGGGAATGGGCTTAAAGCAGAACGCTCCAGAGGGGGAGTGAGCACCAGTATAGACACAGAAGGGAGAGAGCAGGGGAATGGGATTAGCCTATGAATCAGAGCTTCCTTCTCTAATCTCATTTTTTCCCTCCCCCCTCCATCGTGTCCGTTCTGGTTGCTGGTTGCCCAGGACACCAAGAGAGAAACTCCCTTCTCTTTTCAAACCGTGTCACAGGATCATTAAAGTCCACCTGAACAGCCGGACAGAACCTCGCTTTAACGTCTCATCAGAAGACCGGCACCTGCAACAATGCACTGCACTGGAGGGTCAGCTTGGACTGTGAGCTCAAAGTCCCATTTTAAACCCCACAACCCTGGACCTAGAGGCGATTGTGTTACCGACACAGCAAAGCTGTCACCTGGGCACGATGAATTAAGAATCCTAATCAAAATCATTCTTGCATTTGTAATAGTGCTTTATCACGTTGTTGAGACGTCTCAAAGCGTTTCACAGGATATACTGTAAATTGAATCGACTGTGTATTTTATGAGCGAAACGTGGCAGCCAATTGCGCACAGCAGCGTCCCACAAACAGCCATCAACCCCCAAAAAATCAGCCAAATTGACCCTCGAGCTTGGCTCCTAGAAAGGTTCAAGGACCTCCATCAAGTTGAATTTTTACAGATGAGAGGAGGCTCGAGCTTCATTCACTAGGCTGGTGAATGAAAAGCCCTTCCATCCCCAGCTTGAGGAAGTGAAGCCTCAGTTCACTATCAGTGTGACCGTGTCCGGAGCTGAATGAATGGGACCAGCGGTGGCGGTTTCTGTGGGCGACATGTCAATCTGGGAAAGCAAATTGTAGCGACCACAAGGCCTTGAGGGTGAGGATATGCCACTCACTCAGGCTCTGCTTGTCACCGAGGAGATAAAAATAAAGGCCAGCTGCAAGGTTTCAGTTTGAGGTGCGATTTTTTTTAACTCCCCGAGGACTTCCTGTTGATAACATTGCATCTACGACCGCAGGCGGCTTTGCAAGTCACATCTGGGTCACGTCTCAACCAGTCCCTCCCCAGCAATGGAACAAATAAGTTCCCACACTGAAACATCATTCAATTTCTATCACCCAGAAATTTTATCTGCGGGATTTTTGGCCAGCAAACCAGGAGAAACACCCTTCTCCTTTCCAGTAGTGCCACGGGATCCTTAATGAACAGGGTCCTCTTGTAATCATTCCAGGGAAGAGATCTAGAGAGAGAAGGGGTTACACAATACGCAGACAAAGAATGGCTGGCAATTCAACTTCACCTTCCCGGAGATCAATTCTTCGTCCTTCGGAAGAGATGTTAAACCGAGATCCAGCCTGTGCCTGTTCGGGTGGACATGGAAGGTCCCCCAACGCTATTGGAAACACGAAGGGAGTTTTGCTCTTCCAGTGTCCAACAATCTCCCAGATAAAATCGGTAACTCACATCATGGCTGTTTGTGGGCATTTGCAATGTGCAAATTGGCTGCTGCGTTCGTTTACAAAATACACAGTGACTGCACATATCAGGTGCCAGAAATATTATTATTATTTACCATTTTGAGACAGTAGAACTTTTTGGAAAAATTCCACAGTGGGTCCTGCTTACAAGTGGATTTTCGGTGTAGTGAAAAGCATCATAAATAGATGTATTTGGTGACAATGACCTTTTGCGCCAATTCAGAATTGTGAAAATTTGGGGGAAAAATTCGACCCAAACCTAGACCCATTCCCTTTGTCTCTCTCCCTCGTCTCCTTCAAGGCATCTCCTCTTCAACCATGCCATTGACCACCCTGCCCTCCACCATCCCTGATCCCAACCCCCTTTGTTCGGGTCCAAATCCCTGACTGTCCAACGCTTGTTCTCCTGACATGAAAGGCACTATACAAATGTAATTTTGTATTGTAGTGTATTTCTTCTTTTAACAGTGAAGATTGGTGTTATTTGATGGGTTAAGTGTTAGCTTTCTAGATCTCCTCTATTTACGTAACACTTTTAGAGTGTCCAGACCTGGCAAATCAGTGAATTCAGCCTCAACTTTAAAGTTGGTTTCTTGTGGTTCTCAAGAGAAACTTACAGAACAAAAAACGCTTCAGAATTAATTAGTGTATTGCCAAATTCTGAAATAATAATAATAATCCTTGCATTTTAAGTAGCTTGTTATCATATCGTTGTAAAGTGATTTGATTGTGAATAGGCAAACGTGGCACATAGCAGTGTCCCAAATATAGTGGTGGGCTGAGTGACCAAATTATTATTATTATTTATTTTATTTTATTGCTCCCAGCAGTGTCGACAAATTGAGTGACCAATCTTTTTTTTAAGGGATTATTACTCCAGGAAAGTAACCCGCCAATCAACTAACAACTGGGTTCCAATTTACTGCTAGGTAAACACAGGTGCGTGGACTAAGGAAACTTACCTAAGGTTTTGCTCCGCCTGGGAATCGAACCCAGATCCTCCCACTTGCAAGGCGAGTGCTCTAACCAATACACTTCAGGACAATGCAGTCAACCTAGACCCAGATGAGTTTGATGGTTTAACCATTAGAGAGTGCAATGTCACCCTAACTAGTTATTGTGCAAACAGCAGACAGAGGAATCAGTACTGTTACAGGAACGTTTCAGAAACTGTAACAACAGAACTTACCTCTTCCTCTTCCTGATGTAGAGAACCTGAATGCAAGAAAATACCACACGTTAGTGCAGATCCAGGGAGACAAAAATAGCAAATGTAACAAGGAATAGAAACACAGAAGCATTGACGTTTACAGCCCACATCAAAACCAGTCACAATGCTCATCATTAAAAGATCTCCAGTCCACCACCTAGTGAGTCTTCAATCTTGGGGAAACCAAGCAGATAGTGGGTATGAGTGCTGAAGAGGGGAGGAAAGTGAAGCGTGGGTTTGCTATCACCTCTCAGCTCAAGGACAACATTGGCCAGTTCCCGGCGGTCACCTGGCCAACCCTTGCTGCGTCTCACCTCAAGTCCTTGGTCAGCCAGGTTTGCAAACCCATCATCGTGCTTAACAGTCTCTAAACCAGACTGAGAGTTCCACATTTGCACGTCACCCTAGGCTCTGGAACGCTACCTTGCATGAGGGATGCTATATAAATGCAAGTTGTTGTTGTTGTCACCCTCACATGGAAATTTCTCTATGTCTGGAATGGAATGCGCACTCTCTCCCCAGAAGGACACATCCTGATTATCTAATTCCAGAGAGTATTAGGTACCGAGGCAACAGCCAAGGTTTGGGGACCCTAGAGTATGCATTGGGGTGGGGGCGGCTGGGGGCGGTATTAACCGCTGGAGTTTAACCAGCTCTCATTACTTCTCAGGTTAGCACCACCCTACACCTCAGGACTTTGGTTTGCTGGGTTAACAGGAACTGAGCAGGAAGAATCCTGGCTCTGTGATTCCTTCCCGAGACCCAAAAGGGAAACAAAACCACATAGGACATCGATCCGTCAACTCACCATGGCAATGGCTAATGCTATTAGAGTGACAATACCAAATGGCACCAGCATCAATCCCATCCTGGACTTGCCCCCTTCCGCGTCAGGGACCGGGGTGGCAGTCACGTTAGTGCCATTCGTTACTGTGGTTATGGTCTGGAACCCCATTGTCTCTGTGGCGTTGCCTAGCCCCACCCCGGGCCCCACGCTGAGGAAGGAGGCGGCCATTTTCGATGCGTTGAGGTTCACACCGAACGTTAGCAGTGACATCCGTGTGGAATGTTCCGGCACTCTGACTCTTCTCGCAGCTCAGTCCAACAGATGCTGAGCCACGCTCTCTGAGGTATCATATTAGCGAGGCTTCGAGCCAGCACATCACGCACCTCACTGACTTATCTGAAATAGAGAGCGATACAATCGGGAAATTAACCGAATAATTCTCCATTCACTAAATATAACTCTTTTTGCTCTTCCCGGATGGTAGTTTGTTTCAGACTGGCTCAGTGGTAGCGTTCTTGCCTCTGAGTCGGAAGGTGGTGGGTTCAAGCCCCCATGTCAGGGCTTGAACTCACATTATCTAAACTGACACTCCAATGCAGTGTTGAGGGGGTGTTGCACTGTCGGAGGTGCCGTCCTTCAGAGAAGATGTTCAGTCTGTCTGTTTGGGTGGACGTTAAAGATCCCATGGCACCATTCGAAAAGAGAAGGGAGTTTCTCTCTCCCGGTGTCCTGGCCCCCAGATAAAATTGCTCATTCACTCCACTCTGTAGGATATTACAGTGTAAAAATGACTGGCACTACACCTTACAGTAGTAATAATAATCACTGCATTTAAGTGTAGTGCCTTTCACTATCAGGGGCACGAGCGTTAAAAAGATGCCACAAGGTCAACAGGACCTTGGTTACCTCTTGTGTTAATATCTGGGGAGAGGGAGCGTGGGGGTGGGGCAGCAATACAAAAAGGAGAAACCTATCAGACTGCTGGACTGCGACCCAACTCCGCAAGCCTTTTGGAGAGAAAATAACAGCAGTGGCTGCTGTCACTCTCCCTCCCCAGCACTGAAACCCTAAACCTGTGAGAACGCGGTGCCCAGCCCTCCTCTCGCAGTTACCCGGCCACAGCTGTCTCGAGCCGGATGGCAGCACGTCAACAGCACAAATGTCCCTCCAGCTCTCTGTCTAGCGCAGCAGAATGTAAACAATATTTAAGAGAAGGGAGTTTCTCTCTCACGGTGTCCTGGCCAACAATCCCCCAAATAGAATTGGTCACTCACTCCGGGGCTGTCTGCGGGACATCGCTGCGGCGATTGCTCTGCTGCCTTTGTCTATGGACAAAGACGCACTCATTCCAATTCACGGCAAATCCTGTGAAGCGCTTTGAGACGTCCTTCCAACGTGATAAAGCTCTATACCAAATGCAAGGCTGATTATTATTATTATTATACAGCGCCTTTGTGTCATGAGGACGTCTTAAAGCGCTTCACACTGGGCATCAGAGCCTGGTGTGGGAAAGGACACGGGCTGCCGTTGCATAGGAAAGGTTGGGAGGTCAGGCAAGAGAACGTTGGAACTGGACACACAGGAGGTGATTCAGCCAGAGTGCCTCAGTGTGGGAGCTGTGTACAGTATGCGTTGACTGATGAGACACGGAATATTAGAGAGATTAGAGTGGATTTGGGTTCACTTGCTTTTCAACACAACCACATTAATTGTCGGCCAATCTTCTCCTGCCTGTTCCCAGGCCTCTGCGCTGGTCTGTGCTACACACAGCTGTTCAGAGTTGCAGAGGTTGGCTTTCTGGGATCACTCTCCCTCCCTCCAACTTTGACCTTGAATTACCCTCATTAGGATTCTTGGGCATGAACCCCACATTACACGCACACACACACACACGTTATCGCCTAGCCCCACCTGTCTGACCTCTGGGATCACCTGGAATCTTAATGCCCAGGCCCAGGCCCTTCTCTCCACCAAGACCCCATGGCACAACAACAACAAAATTACATTTGTATAGCGCCTTTCACATCGGGAGGACGTCCCAAGACACTAGACAGACAGAGTTACGGACCAGAGCTGGAGGTCGGGATTGGTGAGGGTGAGGGGAAGCAGAGTGATCGAAAGCACGGTCGAAGAGGAGGGTTTTGATATGGGTCTTGAAGGAGGCAAGGGAGGGGGCAAGGCATGGAGTTCCAGAGGCTAGGGGCAGAGTGGCAGAAGGCCCGCCCTCCAATGGTGGGGCGGGTGAGATGGGGTACTTGAAGTAGGCTTGCTGAGTGGAGGGAGTGGGCAGGGTGATAGGGGGTTAGGAAGTCACAGAGGTAGGGGGGAGCAAGGCCATTGAGGGCTTTGAAGATGAAGACCAGGATCTTGAACTGTATCCTCTGAGTGATGGCTTAGTAAGGTGGAGTGTGCATCCATGGATGGTGATGCTGTCAGCGCCTGAGGTGTGGAGGCGCTGACGGGAGCCAATCAGGAGAGCTTCGGTCTTGTTGATATTCAACTGAAGAAAGTTAACTCTCATCCAGACTTGATGTCTGAAAGACATTCTGTCAGGACAGCATTGGTCCTGGAGTCAAGGGTGGAGGCAGAGAGATACAGTTGGGTGTCATAAACATACATGTAAAAGTTGATCCCATGTTCTACGGATGATGTCACCAAGAGGGAGCATAAATGTTGAAGAGGAGGGGACCAAGGACAGAGTCCTGAAGAACACCGCAAGAGTTGGTGTGGGGGCTGGAGGAGAAACCATTTATGGAGATGAGGTGGAGGCGGTGTGAGAGGTACAATCTGAACAGTTCAATGGCAGAACCGTGAAGGTTGAGGTGAGAGGAGAGGCGTCGGATGAGGATAGAGTGGTCAACGGTGTCAAAGGCAGAGGGAGCAGATGGGCAGAATGGGCAGATGGGCAGAATGTCATTTGTCACCAATTGGAGGGGTTCGTGAAGAGAGTGGCGGGAGAGGAAGGAGTGAAGCTGGGAAGCAACGACTCATTCCAGGACCTTGGAGAGGAAAGAAAAATCCAGCACTGCATTGGAGTGCCAACCTCGACTAGAGGAATTCCAAGTCCTGACCCAGGGCTTGAACTCACAACTTTCTGACTCAGAGGCACGAGTGCTATCGGCTGAGCCAGGCTGACACACCGGCAGATGCCACCGTTTACTGGCGTACGCCTCTGAATCGGCAACAATCAGATCAGATCACACATAAAGTGCGACACAGGAGGGCGAACAGTTCATGCAGAAAGCAACACGGATATAATTTATTCCACCACCCGACAGCTAAATTAAAGCGCTGTTGAGTCAACCTCCGCAGAGGATTAACTTCATCCTGTATTCCTGGGCAAAACTTGGTGATTCCTACCGAGTCTGACTTTGCTGTGTGAATATTTTCCCAGCAGTGCCCCCGTGTGGCGGCTTGTGACTTGCACTTGGCAAAAAATTGGCGGCTTGTGACTTGGACTTCTCTTGGGTGAGACAACATGCACAATGTCCAGTTACATTCTCTGTCACACATCGTCACGTGCAAGAGAGACACGACGCATCCTCAGCTCGTATGTTAAACCCAGGCCCCGTCTGTGATTGTTCAATGGACGTTAAAGATACCATCGCACTCTTCGGAAAGAGAAGGAAGTTTCTCTCAGTATCCTGGCCAACAACCACCCCCCCCCCCCCCCCCAGATAAAATTGGTCACTCACTTCGTGGCTGATTGTAAGACATTGCTGTGAACAAATTGGCTGATGCATTCACCTAATAAATACACAGTCACTACACTTTGCAGTAAATCCTGTGAAGTGTTTTGAGACAGTTCAACAATGTGTTGAGACTGTATCAACGATTATTATAATAATGCTTACATTTGATACAGTACCTAATCAAGTCATCCAGATGTCTCAAAGCGCTTCACAGGATAGACTGTAGAATGCAGTGACTGTGTTTTGTGGGTGAATGTGGCAACCAATTTGCACACAGCAATGTACTGCAAACAGCCATGGAGTAAGTGACTGATTTTATTTGGTGGATTTTCATCCAGGTCACCAGGAGAGAGTAACTTAATTTTCCTTTTAAATAGTGCCATTGGAGTTTAACGTCCACTTGAATTATTATTATTATGATTATTATTATTATATTACTATACATATGAACGCTGAAATACTTGAATTATATGGATCTAACCTCTCCTGATTCCCAAGTCAGTCAACATGCTGATGAGTGCATGTGAAAAAAAAACTTGAGCAGTTTTGCATTTTACATTTTTTTATGTGGCGCCTTATCACGTCATCAACACATCTCGAAGCGTCTCATATTTTAAAGTAGATTGACTGTACTTTGCGGGAGAAACACAGCAGCCAATTGTGCTCAGCAATGTCCCATGAAAAGCAATGGAGTGAGTGTCCAATTTTATTTAGGGGATTGTTGGCCAGGACACCAGGAGAAACCCCCTTCTCTTTTCAAACAGTGCCATGGAAATCTTTAATATCTACCTGAACAGGCAGACGGGACCTCGGTTTGAAGGCTCATCCGAAGGACGGCACCTCTGACACTGCAACACACCCTCAGCACTGCATTGGAGTGTCAGCTTAGACGATGCAATTCAAAGTCCCAAAGTGGGGCTTGAACCCACAATCTTTTGATACAGAAGCGAGAGTGCTACCAACTGAGCCAGGCTGACACGCACTCAGTGGCAGTCAGGCACCAAGCAAGGAAGAAGGCAGAGGGTGACCATAGGCAAGGTCAAAGAGGCAGGTTTTTATGGTGGGATTTAAAGACACCTTGAGAGGGGCGAGAGGGAGGGATAGAGGCACGGAGTTCCAGAGGTTAGGATGCTCTGCCTGAAGTCACAGCCACTGCTAGTGGAGCAGAGGGACGGGGGACAGGCAGCAGATCTGTGTCAGGCGAGAGGAGGGTCCAAACAGTGGAAATCAGAGGTATAGGGAGGTGGAGGGATTTATATGCAAGGGTAAGGACCATTGGGAAACGGAGCCTGGTGAGGATTGGGGTGATGGGGGTGCAGAGTTTAGTTAAGATGTGCCTCCCTCCACACATCCTGGAGCAGTCTGTTGACACTCGCTGTGAAACCTCATACATGACACACAGCCACTCAGGCGAGGTGCAGAGGTGCCATCGTGGGAATTGTAACACCGGGCCTCGGCTGTCAGCCTGGCTCAGTTGGTGGCATTCTCGCCTCTGAGTCAGAAGGTTGTGGATTCAAGCCCCATGTCAGGACCTTGAACTCATACAGTCTAAGCTGACACTCTAGTGCAGTGCTGCAGTGTTAGAGGTGCTGTCCTTCAGATGATACATTGAACTGCGGTCCCATCTGTACCTGTGTAGGTGGACATTAAAGATCCGTGGCAGAATTAGAAAAGAGAAGGGAGTTTCTCCCAGTGTCCGAGACAATACCTCCCCAAATAAAATTAGACCCTCACTCCGTGGCTGTTTGTGGGACACTGTTGTGCGCAAACTGATTGCTGCTTTCGCCTATAAAATACATAGTCAATCCACTTTACAGTGGAATCCTTTGAGACGTTGTCCTGGTGTGATGAATCTATATCAATAGCAAGGATTATTATACAATTATTATGATGAACCAAAATGAGCCTAAGGAGGGGGAGAAAATCATAGGGAAGAGGGAATAAAGACAGGTTCGGTTTTACCTCCCGGTTGGGACGAGACGGCAGGTCGATAGGCAGGCCCCAGAAAAAAAAAAGAAATGCTATTGCTACTCACTATTTTCTCTATTTATAGTGAATCCTCGTCATCGGTTTTGTCCGCCAGAAATAACAGGAATCAGAAATAACAGGAGGCTGGTGTCAATGTGCTAGCCGGACGACAGACTGCAGCAGGCCTGTTCCTTGCTGTACATCTTCACCGAGAGAGAGAGAGAGAGAGAGTGAGTGAGGGGGGGGGGCTCTGAACGCTCTGAGAGACGCCCACCCCCGACGTGAAAGGCGCCGTATCAAAAATGCAAAAGGACTAATGTTGGGAGCGCGGTTGCCGTGACCTTCATTCGGGGCCACCGCGGTCAAAGCCAGAGCCAGCCCGGCCCGGGACCGTGCAAGGGCGCGCTCCTCTCCGGGACATCGCAACGCATGCACGGCTTAATCAAATAAGCAGGGGCCAGGCAAACCCCTGAGAAGCCAGGCTCAGCTGCTCCCAGCCTGTCAGTCCCAGGGGATCAGCTGATATGCTCCATTACAACATCAAGCTGCTGCCACGCCGTGCAACCTAACCCCCCATCTTTGCCTTCGGCCCCGCCCTCTCCCTCCCTCCTCTCCTCCTCTCATTGGCTGGCTGGAGCCGGGTCCCGCCCCGTTGGCCGGCGGACCAAACGCCCATTGGCGGGCACCGCTGCCAGTCAGGGCCCAAGCTAGCAGGTTAGGTGTGGCAGGTGGTGCCCTCCAAACCACATGAGAGAGTCAGCAACACACAGTGCTTCTGCCCCTGTGTCTGGAGTGGAGTGCAGTGGACACGTCCTGTTTACCTGATTGCTCCTGATATAAAAGGCACCACACAAATGTAATTTGTTGTTATTCGTCGTCGTTCCGGCGTAGTATGAGGCACAGGTTAATAATAATAATAATAATCTTTGCATTTGATATAGCGCTTTTCATGTCGGGAGGACGTCCCGAAGCGCTTCACAGAACACACTGTAAAGTGAACTGACTGTATATTTGTGGGCAAACGCGGCAGCCAATTGCGCACAGCAATGTCCCACAAACAGTCGTGGATTGAAAATGACCAATTTATTATTGTTTTTGGTTTTGGAGCGATTATTATTAGGCTCTGTGTGGAGTAAGGAAACTTGCCCAAGGTTTCGCCCTCTGCCTGGAATTGAACTCAGGTCTCTCGCTTGCAAAGTGAGTGCTCTAACCACTGAGCTACAGGACTCCACAGAGCAGCAAGAGCCAAGACTTGGTGCGCTTTGGGATAGGTGGCCACCTGGTTCTTTGTACTACAGTGCTATCAGTAGCAAAACAAGAGCTCCAGGACGCTCCCCCACGTGAAGGGCGCTATATAAATGCAAGTTGTTGTTGTACCTTGCTGGTTTCTGGTGAAAAAAATTTAGTGCGCTGTTTTATTCCAGGGGAGGCGAGAGCGGGACAGGACTGGAGCAAACCCCCTGTTAATGTCGCGATCGCGCTTTCATTCAAATCACAGTCCCGACCCCTAACCTTCTATCTGTTCGAGCTTACGGGCTGGGATATTTGGCTTGATCCGGAGAATTATGCAGGACACCGGGAGAAACTCCCTTCTCTTTTCAAACAGCGTCGCAGGGTAATGTCGCACCCCCCGCCCCCCCCAAAAAAAATACAGTCAATTCACTTTACAGTATATTCTGTGAAACGCTTTGAGACGTCCAGAAGACGTGAAAAGCGCTCTATCGGGTGCAAGGATTATTACTATTATTATTATGTCCACCTGAACAACAACAAACTAAATTTGTATACAGACAAACTGGACCTCAGTTTAACATCTCATCCAAAGGTCGGTACCTCCGCGACAATGTAGTGCTCCCCACAGCACTGCACCGGAACAGTAGCCTCCACCGTGTACATAAAATCCTGACGTGGGGTTTGAAGTCAGAAGTAAGAGTCCTTCCAACTGAGCCCGACTGACACTTCGTTGTGCTATTACAATTGTCTTCCGTCGATACTATCCCTGAGTCGGGGGCAAAGACAAAGCTCCCAAGATATCTGGGCAAATCCTCATTATCTATAGCCCAACAGAGAGAGACAGAGAGACAGAGAGATGACTGACATGATTTATTATTATTAAATATTATTTAATTTTTGGGCAAAAAAAAAACTGTGAGAAAAGTGACCTCATATCGTGCTCTTTCCCCTCCCCTTCCCCCCCATTTAAAAAAAAATCTAAAATAAGACATTATTATATATTATTATAAAATAAGACCTCATTGATTTGCTGAGATGGTTGAGGACCAGGTGGTGCTGGTGAGGGGGGGGGGGGAAGGAATGGGAAGCGGAACCTTTCGCCGGGGGCTGCGGCGAGCGACAGAGGACGGTTGGTGGGCGGGACCCGGCGGCTGCGCGGGGAGTAACCTGCAGAGAGGTCCGGGTCAGACCTGGGGAGAGGACAGTGAGTGAGGGGGGGAGTGAGGGGGAGGGGGAGGGGTGAGGGGGAGAGGGAGGGGGAGGGGAGGGAGGGAGGGGAGTGAGGGAGTGCGAGGGGGAGGGAGTGAGGGAGTGAGGGGGAGGGAGGGAGTGAGGGGGAGGGAGTGAGGGGGAGGGGAGGAGAGGGAGGGAGAGGGAGGGAGTGAAGGGGAGGGGAGGGAGTGAGGGGGGGGAGGGGAGGGGGAGGGGGGGAGAGGGAGGGGAGAGGAGGGGAGGGGGAGGGAGTGAGGGGGAGGGAGGGAGGGGGGGGGAGAGGGAGGGAGGGGGAGAGGGAGGGAGTGAGGGGGAGAGGGGGAGCGGGGCCTCGGGAGATGTGTTGTCGTTGTTGTTGTTGTTGTGTTTTAAAAAAACGGCTTTAGTTTTTAAAATAAATGTTTAACTTAAACCTGGAAAACGTCCCCCATCCAACACCACCCCCTCCCCACCCCCTCCCCACCCCCTCCCCCCCCCCCCCCCTCCCCCCCACACCCCCTCCCCCCCCCACACCCCCCTCCCCCCCCCCCCCCCCCCCACCCCCTCCCCCCCCCTCCCCCCCCCCCCACACCCCCTCCCCCCCCCACCACCCCCTCCCCCCCCCCCCCCCCCCCCCCACCCCCTCCCCTCCCCAACTTACAAGCTTGCCTGTTGGACGCCCGGCTGACCCCAAAACTATACAGATTCTTTGAACTTCGCCCACAATATACAGTCACTCCACTTTACAGTATATTCTGTGAAGCGCTGTGAGACGTCTCGAAGACGCGATAAGGCGCTACATCAACAACGACAAAATTACATTTGCATAGCGCCTTTCACCTCGGGGGAGGACGTCCCAAGGCGCTGGGCAGTCAGTGTGTCGGACCCGAGCTGCTGTCGGGATTGGGGAGGGTGGAGGGCAGAGGGGGGAAGCAGGGAGATCGAAAGCACGGTCAAAGAGGAGGGTCTTGAGATGGGTCTTGAAGGACACAAGGGAGGGGACGAGGCGGAGGGTGCGAGGCGGAGGGACTTTGGAATGGAATTCCAGAGGGTACGGGCAGAGTGGTGGAAGGCCCACCCGCTACTGGTGGGGCGGGCGAGGAGGGGGATGTAAAGCAGGACGGAGCCCACTGAGCAGAGGGAGTAAGCAGAATGGTAGGGTGTTCGGAGGTTGAAGAGGTTGGGGGGAGCAAGGCTATGGAGGGCCTTGAAGGTGAGGACCAGGATCTTGAGCTGTATCCCTCTGTGTGATGGGAAGCCAGTGGAGTCGGGCGGGGATACAGGTGATAGGGTCACAAAGCCTGGTGCGGGGGAGGATACGGGCTGCATAATTTCATCTCATGTTTTCTCAGATCGCTTGGATTGAACCAGTTTAATGGGCTGAAAGCCGAACGTTTGTGGCTCCACGCGGACATTAATCCGTCAGTGTTAGAGGAATATTGAGTGCGGGAGATGTAACCAGACGCTGAGCGGCTGCAAAGTGAAGCGTTTGGGGATTGTTGTGTCAAAGGTTCTCGTCGGAAGGTGAAGAGAATTGTCAGGAAGAGTCCTGCCGATGAGAGGCCGGTATTTGTGGTCTAGGTTGGTCCCAGGAAGCTGCCTACGTCCTGCCCCTCACGCCAGAGGCTGGACGCCCATTCCTGTGGGAGGTGGGGAGTCCTGGCAGGGTTCTCTCCAGCCAGGGCACAGGGCAGCAGTGGGCATGAGCTGACCACAGCAGCACAGTGCGTAACCTACTGGAGCACGAGGTTCCATCGCGAGGGGATCCCGGAGCCGCAGGAATCCAGCCAATACATCATCTCCCACGTCCTCGGAGGAAAAACTGTTAAGTGGTGTAACATTTCCAGCTCAGGGTGGGCGCTGACACAGGGCTAGGGTGGCTGAAGGCTCTTGTGTATGTTGTCCCGGCCTCGTATATATTGTGGATAACTGCCCTTGCATTGCTCAGGGGGAGGATTAACATTATACACACGAATGGAGGGAAGGCAGTGTGGATTACAGAGATAGTGAAGTGTGGGGCTAAGGAAAGGCCTTTCAGTCGATCGGCTGCTCTGCTGTGTGGTTAGTTAGTTTGTGGCAGAGCTTCTTGAGCTGGATTGCCTCGTGGAGCTCGGTGGAAGATCGGAACCTGAGCGGCGTTCCAGGGGGAATTTGGACAACAATGACAACAAGTTGCATTTATGTAGCGCCTTTCACGTCGGGAGGATGTCCCAAGGGTTTGCACTGAACTACGGGCTGGAGTCAGGAAGGGTGGAGGGCGAGTGGGGTTGGGAGGATGACCAAAGAAACGATCAAATAATTGCTCATCTGTATTGAACAATGATAATGATTTGATTTTAATTGCTGGTATCGCTCCTGGGTTTAGATTCACAGTCTTGAAGAGGGAAGCTTGTCCAGAGCACTCACTGCGGAGCAGAAACGGATGATCTGGAAGCTTTGTTTCAGACGTCTACAGCGGTGAGCTAACTTTAATATTTTCACGTTTCTTTCCCCTTCTCTTTAAAAGGTGCGTATTTTATCTTGGCTTTCCTTGGTTGGTAGTGCTCTCGCGTGAGTCAGAAGATTGTAGGTTAAAAGGCCAGGTCAGGGATTTTGAGCTCACAGTCTAGGCTGATGCTCCATTGCAGTGCCGGGGGGAGCATTGTGTTGTCTGAAGTGCCGTCCTTCGGATGAGGAATTAAACCGAGGTCCCGCCTGTGCCTGTTCAGGTGGATGTTAAAGATGCCTAATTGAAAACAGAACGGAGTTTCTCTCTCCCGGTGCCATATCTTACAGTCCCCATTCATTTCTTGGCTGTTTGAGGGACTTTACTGTGTGCAATTTGGTTGCTGCGTTCACTTACAAAATGCACAGTCAAAAAAACAAAACTTGACAGTGAAATCCTGTGAAGCGCTTTGGACATTTTGACATTGTATCAGCATGGTTTATTATTTATTTTCCTAGTTATTTCGTCCCCATCCATCTCTCTCTCTCTCCCTTGCCCTTGGCCATGTGTGTATTATTCATGGGTAAGCTTCAACTGGACCCAATCCTGTATTAGCCCAATATCCACACGCCAGCTATGTTCAGCACGATGAGGGGTTTGGAATGGGGTCAGCTAACTTAGCACAGGGTGGGTTTGAACCTGATACCTTATGTTCTGTAAATGGCCAATGGGGAGAGGTATTCTCCCATTATATGTCGACATGGTCAAAGTTTAGCAGCAAGAGGAATCGAATCCAGTAGTTTCAACAACAACAACAAGATTGCATTTATAGAGAGCCTTTCACGTCGGGAGGACGTTCCAAGGCGCTGGACAGTTGGGTCGGGACCCGTGCAGGCGGAAAATGGTCAGGGTGAGGGGAGGGAAGGGAGGGGGCGAGGAGGGGGTAGAGAGTCGAGAGGGGAGTTGAAGGCACGGTTGAAGAGAAAGGTTTTGAGACCGGCCTTGAAGGAGGAAAGGGAGGAGGCGGCGAAGGCACTGGGGGATGGAGTTCCAGAGCCTCGGGGCTGAGAGGGTGAAGGCCCGGCCACCGATGGTAGGGCGGTTGGGGCGGGGGATGTGGAGCAGACCAGAGCCAGAGGAACGGAGGGTACGGCAGGTAGGTAGGGGGATAGTAGGTCGGAGAGGTAGGAGGGAGCGAGGCCATGAATGGCCTTGTAGGTGAGGATGAGGATCTTGAATTCGATCCTCTGGGGGATGGGGAGCCAGTGGAGGCGAGCGAGGGTGGGAGTGATGTGGGCGCGGTGTCTGGTGCGGGACAGTACACGAGTTGCAGAGTTCTGAATGACCTGCAGTGTGGAGGGAGGTAACGGGAAGGCCGGCGAGGAGAGAGTTCCCATAGTCCAGCCTTGAGGTGACAAAGGCGTGGACCAGGGTTTCAGCAGCGTGAGGGGTGAGGTAGTGCCGTAGTCTGGTGATATTCCGGAGGTGATGGAAGGCGGTGCCAGTTGTGGCGCGGATATGAGGGAGAAAGGACAGCTCAGGGTCGAACAGAACACCGAGGTTCCTGATGGCTTTGAGAGGTGGAGAGTGCAGCCTTGGATGCTGATGGTATCTGCGCCTGAGGTGCGGTGGCGCTGACGTGAGCCAATCAGGAGGGCCTCAATTATGCGCACGTTGAGCTGAAGAAAATTGTATCTCGTCCAGGACTCGATGTCGGACAGGCAGCTGTCAGGACATCGGTGGTCGTGGAGTTGAGGGTAGAGGAGTTTCAGGGTAAGCAGCTTTGTAAAGACACAGTGTTGCGTAGATTGATTGACTGGTTATGTGTGGTTCAGCCTCTCCCCTCCTCGCCTAGGATGCCTGTACAGTTTGTGATTGAGGAGTGGGACTTTTGTGACCTGACGTTGAAAATGAAACCACCGGTCTTCATTCCCAGACCGGAAACTGAGGTACGTAAAGCATTACATCCAGCAAGTTGCCTCTTCTGCCTCTTCCACCCCCTCGCTCTCCAATCCGGATCAGCCAGGTGTGACTGGCTCAGTCGGTTGCACTCTCGCTTCTAGGTCAAAAGATTGTGGGTTCAAGTCCCACGTTGGGACACTCAAGCGCAGTCTGGGGGAGTGCTACTTGCATTATCGCAGGTGCCATTCTTCCAATGAGACATTAAATCGATGTACCCTCTTTGCCTGTTGAGGTGGACCTTAAGGATCCGGTGAAACAGCTGTTGGTGGGACACTACTGTGTCTTAACGTTGGCTGATCAATGCACAGTCTCTACACTTGACAGCAATTATGTGATCAGAAGGAAAGATTATTATTGTATTATAATTATGTGCTGCATTCCACTATTGCCCATCAGGTGGCAGTCTTGGCTCATATGCGTGTCTCAGTACATTAATGCTTGATGGCCAAAGGGGACTTACTTATTTAACATGCTGAGGCTGAGTGAGTGAGGTCACTGCTCACCAGGGATCTGAAGGGATCCCTTTCTCTTTCGTCCCATTTTACAAATCACTGAACCTTTTATGATTGGTGGATCAATCAATGGACATAAGGTCACTGTGCCGAGTGTTGCTCTTCTGCCTCATTCGTTGGGCTGATTATTAGAAGCCTCTGGCATGTACATGGTGATGCTGATGAGGTGTTGATGAGCCCAACGAACTCACCGACCGCACGCTCATCAAATTACATAGTCTGACTATTCAGGTGGATGTTAAAGATCTCCCGGGGTACTATCCGAAAAGAGATAGTCGTTTCTCTCTCTCAGTGTCTTGGCTGACAAATCCCCCAAGGGAAACCAGTAGCTCAAGTCCATGGCTATTTGTAGGACACTGTTGTAAGCAAACTGTCAGCCTCATTTTGCCCACAAAATACACGGTCACTCCACTTTACAGTATATCCTGTGAAGCGCTTTGAGACGTCTCAATGACATGATAAGGTGCTGTGCCAAATGTGAAGATTCTTATAACGATGCACAAAACAGGTCTTTCAGCCCAACTAATCTATGCCTGTATTTGTATCCTCTTGCAACTATCGTAACATCCTTTTGATAAAGTAAACAGGGAAATTATTTCAGCCGCCCATATGGTGCACTGATTTAAAGGAATTAGCAAAAGAGCAAGAAGAAAGTTTAAGAGAGTGTTTTCAAACAGAGTTGTTAGGATGTGGAACCCCTGACCTGGACGTGTGGTTGAGGCAGAATATGTCTTAGCTTTTAAGAGGGAATGGGCTAAGTATCTGAAAAAGAGGAATATAATAAATATTTTTTCTTGCAGCATCTTTCACATTGGCAATTCGTCACAAGGTGCTTCACAAGATTTATTGTTAAGTGTGGTGACTGTGTGTCATGCAGACAATATTAGTTTGCACAGCAATGTCCCACACAAACAGCGATGAAGTAAATGATTGATGTTATCTAGGGGATTGGCTGTGAGAAACTCCCATCTCTTTTCAAATTATGCCATTGATTATTTAACCTCGACCTGAACAGTAAAACAAAAACTCAGTTGAATGTCTCAGTCGATAGACAGCACGCCCAACAGTACAGCGCTCCCGAACACTGCACTGGAGCGTCAGACTGGACTTTGAGCTCATGGGGCTTGAACCTCCGACCTTCTGACTTAGAGGCAAGAGTGCTACTGATTGAGCCAGGCTGAAAGTGTGTGTGGTGGGGAGGAGGTCAAGAGAATGGGAGTGAACAGAGAGCTCTTTGAAAGACATGATGGGCCAACTATCTTCTTCTGTGCTGCAAATATTTGTAGCTCTGAAACGCTTCTGCTGTTCAGCTCTCTCAGTACAAAAAAAGCATCGAACCTGCTCTGCTTGGTTCAGAATGCCTTGGACAGTGATTTTACCAGCTGAGCAATTGCCCAACAACAACAACTTGCATTTATATTACACGAGAGAGCGTCTCGGAGTGCTAACATTCGAGGAAATTTCCTTGTGTAAATTCAGTCACATTTAGCTTATCCAGACTGTGGTTCATTGCCCAGTGATGGAGATTAAAGTCAACTGCTACATGTCCTAACCTGTGTAGAGTGCACTATATACGTTGCTAGTTGTTGTTAATAACCTGACATTGTTTCCAGCTCTGACCTGGTTTTGTGAGTGCTGTAAGTGTACAATAGACGCACGGCAAAGTGACAGTAGGGTGGTTCTAATTGAACAAGCAACAGGAAACTTTGCCAGACAGTGAGTTCAATAGCAAGCCGGTTAAACTCCAGTAGTTACCCACTCCACAACTCATACTCTTGGGTGCCCGAGCCGTGGCTCTTGCCAACTTGCACCTAATACTCTCCAGAATCAATGAATTAGGGAAAGATTGCGCATTCTATTTCAAATAAAGGGAAATTTCCACGTGTAGGTGACACACATGTGCAACTCCTGTCTGGTCAGAGACTCTTAGGCACGGTGATGAATTTCCGTTTGTCTGAGTCAGGCTGAAGATGTGTGTGTGTGTGTGTTTGTGTGTGTCCATGCGCGCCTGGGAGAGAGAGGTGAGGACAAGAGGATGCCCCCTCCAAAAAAGCGAGTGAGACAGCTGTGTTTTCCTAGACACCTTCCTTTATCCCCTGCTCTCTGCATGATCTTTTTCTAGTGTTGTGTGTTTGTATCGTTCCTCCGGCGTCCTGCCTGCTTGCCTGCAACTTTAACCGAGGAGGCAGAGGGGGGAACCCCAGTATAGAGGTCTCAGTGTAGCTTGTGCGTATGTGCAGCTGACAGGATGTACATCACTGGCCAGTCTTTGGTTTTGAGGTTTGAAGCCTTGTTTCCAGGAGGGGGAATACAGAGAGAGCGACTTCCCCGTCTGGTGACTCAGTAGAGAATTGATTAGTCAGAGAACAGTGATCTGTCGTCACACATCTCTCTGTGCCACTGGTCTGCATCCTGTCCTCGAGCTGTCCTTGTGCACACAGCGAGCACAGAGCTAACCTAGTGGGCCGGTCAGACAATTTCACCAGCTGTCAAAACCACTCGCACAAACTCAGTGTAACCTCCACGCCAGTCGCTACTGCTGTTTCTGCTTTACCATGTGATCCCAGTCGAATGTGCTTTGCTCACGATCACAGGGGCTGCATGCGAGTTTAACCGTGTCAGTTGTGGACAGCCTTAAACTAGCCTGTGATAGTCTGTGCCCCGTGATGATATAACACCCACCCATCAGCACCTGGCTGGTTTGCTTGCCCCGTACAAGCTTCCTGTCCAAGCTTGGATTAGACGTTAAACAGGGTCCCGTTTGTGCCTGTTCAAGTAGATGTTAAAGATCCCACAGCACTATTGGAAAAGAGGAAAGTTGGCCAATATCTTGGCCAACAACCCCCCCCCCCCCCCCCCGGTGTTGCTACACCTAGAATTGGCTGCTGCACTCGCCTACAAAATACCCAGTCTCTACACTTCACTGTAAATCTTGCGAAGCACTTAAAGATATCACCATAAGACCTGTCTCAAATCAAACCTCGGGTGTCAAGGCAGAAGGGGCACAAAGTTGGAGTCCTGTAGCTCAGTGGTTAGAGCACTCGCTTTGCAAGTGAGAGACCTGAGTTCAATTCCAGGCAGGTCAGGGCGAAACCTTGGGCAAGTTTCCTTATCCCACACACCTAATAATAATCCCTCCAAAATCCAAAAACAATATTAAATTGGTCATTTTCAATCTACGACTGTTTGTGGGACATCGCTGTGCGCAATTGGCTGCCGCGTTCGCCCACAAAATATACAGTCAATTCACTTTACAGTGTGTTCTGTGAAGCGCTTTGGGACGTCCTCCCGACATGAAAAGCGCTATATCAAATGCAAGGATTATTATTATTATAAAGTTAGTGGAGAAAAATAAAGCCCAGATTCACTGGAACTGATTTAAAGTTGTATTTCTTCCAGCCTCAAGGTTTGTGTACCAAGTACTAAACTCATCATTTAGGAGCTGAGATGAAATTCCATATCTGACTGATCACACCCACACATCATGCGATGTAAAGTAAAATCAACATACGTACATATTTTTGCTTTGAGGTAGTTGACCGCAATACAGATAAGAATAATCTCTCCTCCTTCCACCTCCGTACCAGTTCATTGAGAGAGATACCAGCTAGCCACTGAATCTCACTCCTTCTCATTTTTGCTATTAACAATGAGTAGACAAGCTGGCGCTCTTCAGTCTTGAAAAGAAACTTCTCATTCTAAATGGGATTGAAAAAGTAAACCAAAAACAATACAACAACAACAATAAAATTACCTTTGTAAAGCGCCTTTCACGTCGGGAGGACAACCCAAGGCCCTGAACAGTCGGGGATCAGGACCGAGCGTGGGGTGGGGGGGGGCAGGGTTGGGATGAGGGAGGGTAGATAGGAAGGCGGCTGAAGGCACGGTCGAAAAGGAGGGTCTTGAGTCGTGCCTTGAAGGAGGCAAGAGAGGGAGCAAGGCAAAGGGATTGTGGGATGGACCTAAGTTTAGGATGTACTGAGGCAGTAGAACAAGACACGGGTTTAGAGTTGCAAAGTGCAATTTCAAGACATACACAAGTAAGTTTTTCTTTACCCCGAGGTTAACTAACGGCTAGAACAGGTGCCAGGAAGGGTTCTTGAGGCCAGGACACTGGGACTTGTTTGGGAGGGTGGGTGTTCTGGAGGAATGAGATCAGTTGGGGCCAAAGGGCCTTTGTCAGTCGAACTGATATCGTGATCATACATTTTGATGCTCCAACTTAGCGGGTCAGCAATGTGCTCACTCCCCAGCTAGTTTTTCCCCTGAAGTCACTTCCTGCCGGGGAGTGGGGGAAGGAGGGTATTTCCCATGTACCCACCAGCTGTGAATTGGGAAACTGCTTCTGAGATGGAGGCTTGATCTGTGGTGCAGATAGTCATCTCAGGACGGGACTTTCTTGATGAATTGCCCGATAACCGTTTAACAGAAATCAACGAAAATTGTGTACAGCTGCATTTGATTGTATCTTCGGA